AACAGCAACAGGACCAACAACTTTTAGCTGCATGATAATATGTTGGGAGGCTGACCCAAGTAAGGAAAGATACATACTGAAATATCGAGATACTTTTTCAAGAATTAGTTCTAACAGTTGTATGGAAAAAGCCCCACAAAGAATGATAAAGCACCTTTGTCAAGGAAAACTCCAGACCTAAAGCAAATAGAAGGAAGACAACTCCAAACTGAGCAACGGTCTCAACCTGTAATACAATCGACACTGAAAGAGTTCAACTCAAGAAACACACTTACATCATAACTAAATGAGTTTCAGCCAAGAATATGATAGTAATTTCACAGATTACTGTTAATGAAAGTCTAGTTATTCAAAAACGAAAAGGACATAACAATGAAATAATATACGCCCACAAATCAGTAAGCATCACATACCAAAAGCACAGACAAAACGTTAGCACCTCTCTTCATGAAATAAAGAAACTGAATGAAACAAAACTCAAGATTGTTTTCTGGTTTGACACTCATGTACTCTATGCTTTTTCTGGTAACGTTATCATATAGATAGATTACTTTGTCGCTTAATCTATGGATATTTCAACAACAAACAGGCAGACATGATTTTTCCTTATAAGCAATGTGTTGTCTTGTAGGATTGCATACCTGTACCATTTCACTGATGAATTTCAAACCCCCTGGTCCAATTAATGAGCCAGCAAGAAGATAACCGACAATAACCTACCTCAAGAAATAATGATTAAAACACGGTCAGTACTTGGGTTTAATTGAAATTTAGACTTATAAGCACAGAAGATGATAATCATCGAAGTAAAATTTCACAAGCTTCTAAAAGTACATACCGGTTGTCCTAAACAAGAAAAGATGATTCCACCAATGGCAGCAGAGACTATAACCACCACCAAGTCTGAGATAAGTCTGCAGACACACATTGTAGCACAAACTACATGTCACTAGCTGTGGAAACTACATGAAAGATGAAAATCCCTAAATATCTATGTTTATTCAGTGGAATTGCCAGGATAAAAAAGGATTAACATTGACCTCACATCAACTTGAAGCACCGGATATTTTGATTTCTTATTTGACATGACAAACACATTATCCTGTCATCAAGAAAAACAGTATACAAAGAGCTAGTTAGTCACACGTTCACGATATTGACCAATGTTTTTTTTTATAACAATTCAAGCATACATTTTTTTACCTTTTTGTCAATCAATGTGGTAACATCATCAGAACCTTCATTTTCAAGGGAGAAAACGTCTTGTAATTTGAATGATCTAGTATCACTGCAAAAGGCAAAAAAAAATGAATAACTTCAGCAAAGTTCATACAAAGCCAGGAGAGGCATGTGATCTGTTTAGTTACAGCTTCTTATTTACTTTGTCTGTTGTGTCTCATTCTTCTTGATCTTCTCATGGGTAATTTTGGCTACCGTCTCCAGGACTCCCTAATGGAAAAGAAAGGTAAACTTTTCATATAAGAGCAAAGATTTTTTTATCAGCTGGAACCAAAAGTAAATTGCAAAAGTGTCAGACTCTGACAAACGCAAGTCAAAACGTTAGGCATTTTGGTACTCTGATTAGGAGCTAAACTTAAAACATAGGAGACGTTGAAGTTAAAATAGATATGCATGTCTTCAACTTTGACACAAATAATCTTCTACTGATCGTAATATCAGAGATAACAACTAACATGATCCAAAAGTAAATTGATGACAAGTATGAATAGTTTAGCTTACCGTCTCATCAGCAACCGTACTGTTAAAGCTGCGTCCATCAGAACCTAATCAGGTGAGAAAAGCACATGATAAATCCGACATTTCATTATGCAAACCACACAACTGAATGCATTGTTACATTCCTGAGTAACCATATTGATTAAATGCCAGAACTTGGAGCATATTAAAAATTCCAATTGGTTTCTCTATTCAGCTCATCGCTCTTTCTTTTTGTAGCAAATAAAATTGATTTACGAAAGCTCATAACTTCATTTGCCTTGTTTGCACTGTTTTTAAGAGGTTGTTTATCAATCAAGCATAAGACATAAATGTCATCATCAATCATCAAAGCTGTATAATATATCATCATACATCACATAACCACCACGAATCGGGAACCTTTAGTAAAATATTTAGATGTAAACTCTAATAACCAAAAGTAAATTTGTCAAAAGCTCATTAAAAGACCGGAAATACACCATTAACTTGTATAAATCAACTTAAATTGTAATCAGCGAATACAAAAAAATTAATTCCGAAAAAATAAATAAAGAGAAAATGGAGAAAACTTACCTTCAGGCTGATCGTTTTCAGAAAACTCTTTCTCGAGAACACGATCGAACATTTTGGCAATAGTGCCATCATTAGTTACGGGAGCGGACGAATTTACTAAATTACCGTAAAACCTTGCCCTAATCTCCTTTTCAGATCTGGCCGCTAAGGTCATCCTCCCAGAATAAACAACCGACAGGAAGAGGAATATCCATGCTCGAAGCTTCTCTCTTCTCACCACAATCCTCTCCATTTACAGAGCTGAACAGAAAATACAGAGAGAATTTGCAGGAGAAGAGGAAGAAGAAAGGGAAAATGGAGACGCAAAAGGTGTTTGTTTGAACTTTCCGCTTTATTAGATCGAAGCCAAAAATTGAAAAGAAGTTATTGTCTCCATTGGACTGTTAAGTTTTTTTTTTCCGGGCGGGATCTAAGCCTGACGAATTTAACGAAGTTTCAAGTAATAGGATCTGTTCGGTCTAATTTTTGTCAAATTAATTCAATATATTAATTTTAAGACTTATATAATTGTTATAATACTTTAGAAAATATTCAATATATATATATATATATATATATATATATATATATATATAATAAAAGAAGACTTAATATATGAGGGAAAAAAAGGCCTTCTTAATTTTTCAGTTTCCTAAAAAAAGTGCTGGTATATAGGTGAAATATTATCTTTTAGATAGTTTAACTACTATCCATCGATGGTAGACAAAAAAATTACACGAACACCTCATTTTTAGAAATACTTTTTTTTTAATATTCTCAAATAATTTTTTGATTTTATCATCATCACTTAATACACATCTAAATTAGTGTCTATTTTGCAACCTAAGGTGGTAGTGGACTAGTGGGGTTTTAGTTACTGGCTTGCTTGTGGAAGCAAAATGAATAGTTTTTTTAAAAAAAAAATAATAATTAATAATTAAAACTGTAAGCCATGCCATACATAAATAGAGTTCTAGCGAGGGTTGTTAATTAATTAATTGAAATAAAATGTATCATTCGTCGTTCACATATAAAGAACGTTAAGTTTTACAATTAAAAAAAATTGTTCAATTTTACAGTATCATGCGATTTAATAGGAAATTACTTTATCTTACTATTATTGTATCAATGGTCCATGTAATAGATCAAAGCTAATAGTAATCAGATGCAAATTTAAAATTTAAAACGGATGAATTTTTATCCATTTTAAATTGAAAAATAAAAAGAGGCGGAATAAAGATTTACATATAAATATAAATTAAGAAAGTATCAAAGTATAAAAAAAAAAAAACTCATATCATGTCACTAAATTAACAACTCACTGAATTCTCAAATTATATTTCGTATATATTTGTTGAATATTTTAAAAAAATATCATCATATATCATAAATCGACCCCGGCGTGGCACAACATGCATGTTATAACAATTATTTAAGCAAAAATGATGGGAAGAATTGACCGCTTGGTAGAGATGACGCAAGAGCAAGTGACAAGTGTCTAAAAATAAAAGCTCTAATTTGCTTTGTTCCTTTTTTTATGACTTTCTTTAATTAGTTTGGTAAACCATCAAATATCAAATCCTAATTAGCTGTAGAAACATGTGTTTTCTAGTATTTTCTCTTTTTAAAATAAATAAATAGTATATAGTGACAACAATAACTTGTCACACTATTACAAATTTATTATAACATGTATTGAATGATTCTTACATTTGTGGAATATTTATTGTGTAAAATTAAATTATCTAACTTTTTAGTAAGTATAAAATTGTATGATATGAATGTTTTTCAAAATTAAGGTCGAGTTTGATTTATTTTGTTTACAAATTATAATCCTTAAAACTTGATCATATATATTACTTTGAAGTGATTGACAAAATGGTGTAGAATTTACTTTTATTAGTCAAACTAAACACGATCCATATAATAATAAATCCCATTGAAGTATATGACAAAATTAACAATATTTTCTCGAAAAGTATAGTACATCTTTTGCTTTCATTTCACTTGTGCCAAAACTAATTTGAATACTCTTGTTGCTTTATATTCTGACTTCTGTACATGTACCCTTAAAAGAAGGATTACATTGTAAACGTTTGAAGAATCAATAGTAGTCAACGTATGGGTTTCCTTCCATATTAATTTATGTATTTCAACCCCAAACAAAAGAAGATGATGTTTTCACTAACAAGTGAAAGAGTAGTTTAATTTACGTAGTTAATTTTCAAGATAATGTTAAAATTTTTTTGCTCAAATATGTCCTTGTAAGTAACACTCAAATCACTTTATGACTTGACTTTAGTATCATGTGTATAATTTTACCCACACAACATCGGCTTAATTATTATCACAATTTAACATGCATGATTTATTCATATATTACTATAATAATATTATTGACCACTGCATATTTAAACAATTCACGAATTACAATCCATGTGCAAATGGTTTGTAAATGACCAACATCAAAAAGATTTACTGGAAAAATTTTACTCAAATTTCTTGGTTAAATTTTTTTTTGACGCGGATTGAATTTAGTTAAACTCAATTGAATTAAATTTACATTTTCGCAGAAATCACAAATTTAGGAACGTGGATAATGTAGCTTCCACTCGATTTGGGGAAAATCAGAATTCACAAGGGAGGACTGTGCTCGCCACACGTTCGTCACCCCTTTCTCTTCATCTTCTTCTTTTATTAAGGCATCACATTGTTATCAACTCATTCCCAAATAACAACAATGGCGTCGACAAGTAGCATAATTCAATCTGGATTCTCATGCGGCGGCTCATTATCTTCCTTCACCGCGAAGCCAAGGCGTATGGTGGTGGTTCGTGCCGAAGCTATAAACCCAGACATTAAGAAGGATGAAGCAAAAGTGGTCGACTCTGTTCTCGTCACTGAACTCTCTAAGCCTCTTACTGCTTACTGCAGGTTCATTTTTATCTCTTATACATTTTCATAATTCCTCAATTTGATATATTATTCTAGTATTTCTTATTTTTCTTGTTGTTGAAATTTTTTGGATGATTCCAGGTAGTTGGGAATATGCATTGCTGACAAAAATTGTTAGAAACCTGCAAAATTTTAATTTACTCAATTCTTTATCCCTATTTCTCCCTTTTTGTGCGAAAATGGGGACAAGCCACATAGTGGTATGGGTCAATCAACAGTGTTTATTTATTCCAAAATCTGTATTTTATTTGAAAATTCTTTTTGTAACTGTTAACTTGCGACTTTGGTACGTTCATAGGAAAAAAGAAATGTTTGTTCATTTTTAAGTAGAGATGGGACATTATTTGGTTGAAGTTGAAAGAAAGTAGTCGTACATATTTTAAGTCCAATCAATAGTCAGTCCTATTATCCCATTAGTCATCACCTTTCTTTGGTGGTCAGAGATACCTGATACATGTTGTTCGCTCGTGGAAAAAAGGAAGTCAACCCTATTGTTGGTAGTGTATTGAATCTGATTTTGTTTAAATTAATTTCATATTCCAAAATGTTTGTATAGATGACCACTTCACTTTAAGTCCTTCAAGAATATTGGTGTTGAAGGATTGTTTTTGGTTATATACATGTTATTGAAAATAATTCAGTATTATATCCTTAATAGGATCAGGTGTTTGATTGCCAGCTTTAGTTAATATATACATACATATATTATATTGTAATTATCATAGGAGAACTATTTATACGTTTGATGTGAAACAACACTACGTGTGTTAGAGGCTTAGAGCACATAATGTTTTGATTGTTTTACATAATTATGTTTATCACATATGATGATGCTATACCTGATTGTATAAAGTAATATAATCAAAAAAGACTATTGTAAAAAGTTACATCATTTAACCAAAGTAAAATGAATCACATTTTCTACATCTAAGAGACATCTTGAAACATATATAAAACATGGCTAATTTGTCAGAGAACCTTGAGTTTCTCCGTTTAATTCAGGATTAGTCAGTTCTATTTTATAAATGAGGATGGGAGAGATGTATATAACTCGGAGAAGATCAGGATTCGACCTTGATTACCAGTGTGTCCAATGTGAGTTGCTCTAGTTGAATTTGTCTCTGGTCCGTCTCATTGAGGGGCTCGATACTGAACGAAGACCCTCCTTCCCCGCTCCCACCCCCTTTTCTCTTTAATTGGTTTGGAAGAGGACCATATGTTATCTACATTTACTGATCGTTGAACTGGAGAACAGAGTCATTGATATCTCCCTACTTATTATTGCCTTCTTGATTCTGGAACTGATCTTACTAGAATAACATTTCAAACTGAATTTAGTCGATAATTTTAGTAAGTGGGAGATTTTTGTGTTCAGGTGTTGGAGGTCTGGGACTTTTCCTCTATGTGATGGAAGTCACGTGAAGCACAACAAGGAAACCGGAGATAACGTTGGACCCTTGCTATTGAAGAAGCAGTAAATGGTTGTGGTATTGTGTTAGTCTCTAGATTATGCAAAACTCTTGATGCCTATTTCCTTATTATCTTTTTGCTCTATCTACCATTTGTTGAACGAGATATTGTTCTTTCCCGGTGAATAAATTAAAACCGATTCAAACTGAAAGTAGTTGCAATATTTATCCTACTTTTCCGGCAGAAGTTCTTCCCATGCTACAACTCGATCACAGAAACCTATCTAATCCTGTGAAACATGAGTATAATTTCCATATGGTTCAGTTAAATGAGACTGATGAGTTAACAAGTCATATGATTGGTTTAGCTGATGCAAATACTTTTAGCATAATTGTACCATGATTTTTTACAGTCTCTTATGGATGTTAGTAGTGTTGTTGTTCAGATCACAATCTAATTGGATGAGTGGTATTGTTCATACCACAATTTACTTTGTGGGCTAGATTATCACATTCGTTGGGATGAATTGGTGGTCTCCTTGTATATGGACTTGGAAATCCTTGTCTAAAAAACTAGCTTGGCAACGCCATACAATATGTTACACATTTTGTGGCCAATCATTTTTGGAGTTGATGAGTCATGAGAGATTCCAATCCCCTGAAATGAGACTTAGGTCAAGATGCAAATAATGATTAAAGTTGGTTATAATTGCTTAAGGGAGCACTAATTAAGGAACTGCAAATTGCTTTTTCAAAAGGAAAAAAGTAAGATGCTCACTTGGGATTAAAAATGCTTTTGTGATTTGTATATTTGACTCGAGGGATAGATATTATATTATATTTCAATTCCTTTATTCCAAGGTTCTGAGTGGAGCTTTAGCAGGACTTAAGCGCCAGGTTAAGACAAAAGTGGTTACCCCTTCTAAAAATAAATAGTAATACTATTGGCTTTTCCAAAAATTGAAGTCAGTCTTTATAAATTATACGATACTGTTTATCTGATCAGGAATAAACATAACTAAAAAATACAATTCGAATTTAGAGAGTCAAACAATTTTAGTCATAATAATTGGCAATTGAAAAAATTTAAAAGATAAATGAAAAATATATAATTAAAAATAGATTTAATTGAAGCTACCGAAAGGTAATTGAGATGCAAAAAAGTAATAATTACAATATCCCAATTGATTGACTACTGATCAAAGTTTCACTTGTTTATGTTTTTGTTTTTCAAGTATGGTGTGCACTTCTATTTATTCTTGAAACGTTTATCACAAGTTCACTGCAGAAGACACGTTTAGTCAAAGTATATTAGTTCTACAAATCATTTTGTACTAACTAAAATGATAGAAATTAGTTAATATCATATAAAAAATGAAATAGTTAATCCCACAAAATATTACAACTCTATAGTATTTCAATAGCCAAACGACCCCTTAATGAAAAAATGTTGTACTGATCTGTCTTGACATTTCACAAGGTGACAGCTACTGCCAAATCATTCAAATAAATAAATAAATAATTCAGTAGTATATATTAATACTATGTATAAAGATATTTATTTAATGAAATGATATTACTTGACAAAAAAATATCTATTGGCCTATTGGTTCATTACCTGATTTTGTAATTGGAGGTTAGAGGTTCAAATCAGTATAAATCAATGAGTGGTTAAGTAGCAGTGAACTCAAGACCACCTCTTCAAGCTTAAAATTAGCCTAAAATCTAAATCAATGCGATAAAAATATATCTTACTTATACATATGAATATGATAACCAATTTTTTATCTTTTTCTTCTATAAATATTGATCATGCTTCTTAAAAATTCCGTATATGGCCATTAGCTCCGCCATTGACCCAAAAAGACAAATAGAGAATTAAAAACTGATCAATCCGTCGGTATTGGAGTCCGAAAGAATCAGTCTTCATGGATATAATTTGACTTTTTTTTAGTCAGTTGGAATATTATGACAAATTAGGATAGTGAAATCAAACCTAATCCGTTTAATAATCCTCTCATGCTCAATTCATTAAATTTTGGTGATATGTAATCTAAATTGACTTGAGAGAAATTTTGTTTAAATATTTTTATTTTTTAAAAAAAATTTGATATGTTATATATAGTCATAATAAAAAAAAATTTAATCTTATTAGGTATTAAAATATTGTAAAATTGTAAAAGAACAAATAAAGAAAATTAAAACTTAGTTAAAATTGGATTGGATTGGATTAGATGTTGTCCCATAATCCATTATCCAACCCATTTTGACTCAAATAAATTTAAATTGAATTGAGTCTTGATCCGTTAATTATTTTGATCCATTCAAATTTAATTCAACCCCGCACACGATCAAGTTTAAGCAACATAATTCTGTTCATTTCACAATCATATGCACAGTGCATGTGGCCGCTCCTTCAAATCTTCAGTTTCCGTCCATCGAAAGTAGAGTTGCTGCCTTCGCTTTCCCAACAACAAATTGACGACATATTATTAGGTAATCAAACAATGACCTTCATTTGTCCACCTCCAATAAATAAAATTTAGCGTGCTTACGTTATGTAATATTATTCGACAATTTTCACTTTGTTAATTTACGTTTGACATTGAGTTGTGTCTTAAATCATTTTTCTTAATATACTATCAAGGTGACAAGGTCAAACCTATTATTATTGTTGTATTTTTCAATATGACAATATATGATCGTCTAATTATGTTTTCTAAGTTAATTTTCACATTTGAGTTTGATCAAACACCAATTTCTCTCTAACGAAGAAAAAAAATATCAACATCTTATTAAATTTAGGAAGAAAAAATCATGTTACAAAGGACGAACGAGGAAGAGAAAAGAGGAGAGAGCCGAGTGAAAAAATTACAATAAAAGATATTAGCACTAGATTTCATAAAATTATTAATAGGCACATAAAATTGATTTTTTTTTGTTTCCCAGCCCACATTAAAACCCCAATGGCTCATTAAAAAATAACACTCCCAATAAAAAAATTTCATAGTGAGAATTAGGGGTGTGCAAAAACCGATTTAACCAATAAATCAAACCGAAAAAAATACTATTGGTTTATCGATAGTGAAAATTTCATATATGACATTTATTAGACTAATATTTTCAAGTTATAGCAGTAGAATAAAACTTTCAAGTTGTAACAATAAAAAATTTCATGTTATAACATTTTATTAAATAAAAAAAGATTTTTTTATTAATTGTAAAAATCTATTTTGAAAAAAAATAAAAAGGATAAAAAATCGATTTTGAAAAAAAAAAGAATAAAAAAAAAAGGAAAATAAATCTATTTTGAAGAAAAAAAAGAAAAAAATGGAAATAGGTGTATTAATAAAATTTGAATTGATTGATGATAATTATTAATTAGCATAAATTTAGGAGATTCAAACTAATTAGGAATAATTAGTTTCCTTAATTCACTCTAATTTGTTAAAATTAATTAAAAAATATGATTTTATCCATTTTCTTCTATGTTACTCTCTTTTCCTTCTTTTTTTCCCAGAATTGTTGTCACTGACGAGTAAATCAAGTTTTTTTTGGGTTTGAAAAATCTTGATTTTGTTGTGATGGACAACTGCTTATCTATATTAATTAAACATGGTGGTAGATGAGATCCTTCAGGTTGAATAAATGTTGGTATGAATAATTGGATGTCAACTATATACAGTTTGGATACCAATTATATGGTGTTCATTTTGATCTCCAACTAAATATCAAAACTAAACTGTTTATGTATCCAATTGTTATGTATCCAGAATTTTGTATCCAATTGATATGCAATCTGTATATAACTAGTATCCTGAAATTATGAGAGTCAATCTGTAATTCATATGTAGTTGATAACTGACTTGAAGAAAACAGTGCATATTCTATATCATTCAGTACTTAAAACTGTATAAAAAACAAATATATATCGTTCAAAAGTTAAAAAGACATGAAATACTAAAGAGTCTAAGCTGCAATCAACTATCTCAAATTTGATCTCCGTAGTCTTGGTGTAGGATAATTGCTGGTATCTGGAGCATGTTCTTTTGCTATGCGGGATCCATCAAATTTGCTAGCAACAGTCCCAGTTACTTCACTCTCACTGATCGCGCCATCATCATTCTTTGTTTTTCCGCATTGGAGAAATTGAAAAATAAACCTTCTTATTATAAAAAAAAAAGAAGAAGAAAATATCAATTTCATACCAACATTAGTCATAATTTATACACAAAAAAAAAAAGGATGATTTAACAAACTACAATCAATTCACATAATTGGACCACTGATATCACACCATTTTCTGATAAAAATAATACACAACTTAAGTCAGCTTTCATACCAACAATAAATCAATTTCAAACCAATGTTAAAACACATTTCATACCATATTCATAAATCGTATATTAAGTCGGCTTTCATACCAATATTATTCATGTTTCATTCCAGTTTAGTAGACAGAATGAGAATAATTTGAAAAAAAAATAGATTTCCTCTGAACTGTGTACCAACTTCATATCAGATTTAAACAAGTCTCACACCAAATATAAGTTTTTTACCAAATTTTATACCAATTCATTCCAACATTAGACAAAATTCATACCATATTCATAAATCGTATATTAAGTCAGCTTTCATACCAATAATATGCATAATATAACAATTTTAACAAAAAAAATCTACTAAATTGATTTAACCATATCACATGTAGTAAAAAACCCAATTAACTTTTGGAGGACAACACACACTCAGCAGTACTTTCCAAGAGTCCAAACAACATAAGGTTTCAAGAATATCTTTACCTCTTATAATAAACTCCAATCTACACTACACATGGCCATAAATCTCCCAAAAACATTAGCAAAATCAATAAAGATTCGATTTTTTACCATTCCTCGCGTAGTAAGAACTCAAACCAGCAAAACCCAGAAAGGATCAACCTCAAAACACCTCTGATTCATCTCCATGAAAATGGTAAAATAAACTTTCTTTCAATACAATTATCAAACGGGGTTTCTCCAAAATACTATTTTTTTTGAAAATTACAACTTAGAGATCTGCCCTTTTGTTTTGATTGTATGGAGAATATATTTCTCCTAATCAGTTTTTAGAGATTGAAAAACCGGCTTCAATGGAGTATGGATGAAAGAGATGAAAGATGAATTTCTGTTTTTTCTAACGTGAAATTGACGTGGGGTGAGAGATTTAGATGGAGTGGGTGTGACTTGTAACTGTAAAAAATGAACAATAATCAATGTAAATCCCTATAATTGTGTAAGAGATAATTATGGGGTATTCTTTATTTAAATAATTTAATAATAATATAAAATTATAAAAAATAACTTATTTAATAAAGTAAAATTTAATTAATTTATAAATAATTAGTGATATGTTATAACCCGTAATTAAACTGTTAGCAAGAATTTTTTAAAAGTAGATTTAAAACCTGTAATATTGACTCTTAAATGTGTATATGAGGTGATTTTTCCTTATCGATATTGGGTTATTGGGCTAACGATTTTTTAACGGTTTTGCAAAATTTTTTATTGGATTATTGGTTCGGTTTCCGGTTTTATGATTTTGTTAATGGTTAAACCGATAATCCAATAAGACTATACTAAATTCACTAGTCTTATTGTTAATGGTTAAACGATTGTTACTTTCACACTTTTTGTTAATGGTTAAACGATTGTCTTCACACTTTTTCCTTTGAATGTGTCTAGTGTCTAAACTTCCAAGAAAAATGATTGTTACTTTCATACCAAATGCTAGAAAAATCATATGGTTTATATGAAAATTTTCTTATCGATATATGAGTATTTTCTTATTGGTTAAATCGAAAATCGAACCGTTAAGTACCATAAACCGATTAACCAAAAACTGATAAGAAATATGTTATTGATTTGATTATCGGTTTAATGTATTTACAAATCGAAAACTGATAAACCGAATCAATAACACATAAAACCAAATCGAACCAACCGATGCGCACCCCTAGTGAGAACCTCTTTTCGATTTTTATTTGTATGAAGTGTTAAAAGAATTTGTATAGCTCATATGTCTGCTGGCGGCTATTTAGTAGAAATACATGTCCCTTTGATTGAGGGAGAGAACACAACCTACCATTTGATTATTAATATCCCCGCTCACTTTATTCTCTTTATTGTCTCCACCATTTTGGACCACCGCCGCCGCCTTCTCAACAACCTCCGTGTTCATTTCCATTCTTGATTTTCCCGGCCAAATTCGCCGGAACCTGATGCTTCCTAATTCCAATAACCCTCCTTCAAAACCCAAATCCCCTGATTTTTCAGATCGAAAAAACTCATTTCTGCTTTCCTTTCACAATCCACGTACATGGCTTATTCTTACCCTCCTCCTCTTTCAAATTCTTCTCCTCTTCACTCTCCGGTCCCGCCCCTTTTCCGCTTACATCACTTTCCACCCCCACTCTTCTTCTCCGCTCCTTACCCTCCCCACTGAATCTTCCGCCGCCGTTCATGCTGATAGTAGTTCGACCATTACACAAGTTGATAATGTTACTGACTTATGTCCTTTAGGTAAAATCTATGTATACGACCTTCCCCTGTTTTTCAACGCTGAGCTAATTCAAAATTGTAATGAGTTAAACCCATGGATTTCCCCCTGCGAAGCGCTGTCGAACGATGGATTTGGCCGGGAAGCGACCGCACTTTCGAATTTAATTCCGGAAAGCTTGATCCGTTCGTGGTATTGGACGGACCAGTTTTCATTGGAGCTAATTTACCATAATCGTATGTTGAATTACAGGTGCAGGACTTTGGAGCCGGAATCAGCCTCGACTTTTTACATTCCGTTTTATGCTGGTCTCGCCGTGGGGAAGTACTTGTTTAAGAATAATTCCAGTGCAAAAGATCGCGATCTGCATTGCGAGCTGTTGCTCAATTGGGTACAGAATCAGACTTATTGGCAGCGAACTGACGGATGGGATCATTTCATCTCGATTGGTCGGATTTCATGGGATTTCCGGCGAATCAAGGATGAAGGCTGGGGTTCAAGCTGTATATACATGCAGGGTATGCGTAACATCACGCGCCTCCTTATAGAGAAAAACCCTTGGGATTATTTCGACATTGGAGTACCTTATCCCACCGGATTCCACCCCAGCACCGCCGACGACATCGCACAGTGGCAGAACTTCGTCCGTCACCGTGAAAGAAAAACTTTGTTTTGCTTCGCCGGAGCTACACGTGGGATTTTCAAAAACGATTTCCGAGGTTTATTACTGAATCATTGCTACAGCGAGTCAGATTCATGCCGAGTTCTGGACTGTGCTGGTTCCAAATGTTCCAATGGCACTTCAGAAATTATGGAAACTTTTCTCGATTCGGATTTTTGCTTACAACCCAGGGGTGATAGTTTCACTCGAAGGTCCATTTTCGACTGCATGGTGGCCGGTTCAATTCCGGTTTTCTTCTGGAAGAGAACGGCTTATTTCCAATACGAGTGGTTTCTGCCCGGTGAACCGGAGAGTTACTCAGTGTTCATAGACCGGTACGCGGTGAAAAATGGGTCGTCCATTAAAGCGGTTCTTGAGAATTTCAGCAAAGAAAAGGTGAAGTCGATGAGGGAGAAAGTTATAGAGAATATAGCGAAGATAGTGTATGGTAAACCCAATGAGGGGATAAATGGCGTTAAAGATGCATTTGATATTGCAGTGGAGGGTGTGTTGAAGAGAATCAAGAAGCATGGAGGAGAGTATAAATGGTAATAATTTTAATATCACACTTTAAATGATTGTTTTGTACTAGTAATAATTTTAATGGTGTATTTACGTGGTATAGGTTGTTTTTATGGATGAATTCTTTTGTTACTACTGGTGTAAAGAGAAATATTGAATACATCATTAAATTTGATGTAAATTATTAGTTTTGTTTTTGAACTATTAACCGTATTAAATGGTACCAGAGGAATGAAACAAAACAGAAGAATCGCGCTTGGGCCCTTTGTGTTTGTGTTGATTGTTGTACGTACAACTGGTGATTGTTCTCCTAAACGTTTAATGCAGTTCTTGTACAGGTTTGTCTTGTGTCCTTTGTGTTGGACTCTCCCTGCTACACACACTTGACATTTGACCATGAAATGTTTTTACTTTTATTTTTAAATTAAACTTTTAGAGAATACATTTTTAAGAATTTGAAAAACAACAAGAACTTTTTTTATTACTTCAAATAATTTGTATTCATAGTCGAACACAATTCTAATTTTTAAATATCATATTTTATGCCGTAAATAAAAAATATTTTTTTTGAATTTCACCCCGAAACATATCCGTCCATTTAAGGAGTTCAACTCTTTTCTATTTTCAAATTTCAAAAAAAGAGGATAATGTTGATTTATGCTGAATTGAACGTTAAACAAGCCGGTGAAACACAACAGAAACCACATTACCATGTTCAATATTCAAAACTTGTGAAATAAGGGGACATAAAATAAGCAAAGGCTCTTAGCATATTCACTTTACAACTAGTATTATTAAAATAGACAAATGATTTTAATTGTTTAGAAGATCAATCTTCATTAATCATCACTATCTCTTTAGGATCGATTAGTGATAATTGATGAGTATATATTTATTTATTTATGTATTCATGCTACATTTGCTTTAGTCTTTTGTGTTACATTACTCTTATATTGAAAGTAAATATCTCATGAACGACATGTCTGTTTGAGTTGTGCGCTTTATAGTTTTTCTTCAATGTTTTTTTAAAAAAAAATATATCAAAAGTATTAATAATTAATAACTTAAAATATTTAATTATATATTTAAAAATTACATAAAATGGACTATAAATCGATAAATCACAATGTAATAATTTAAAGTATTTAAAAAATACATAAAAAATTATTATAAATCACAATAATTAACAACTTAAAATATTCGATTATATGTTTAAAAATTACATAAAAACAATTACAAATCACACTATAACAATACTCACAAAGTTTTATCAGTGCTACATAAAATAGAATGGAGGAATAATATATATTATTTAAAAATTATATAAAAGTAATATTAATCACAATTACTAAGAATTTAAAATATTTAAAACCATACAAAAAAAATTTGCTTTTAACTTTCTAAATTTCTTTTGTGTCATAGAAATAAGAATGGGAGAAACATGTATTATTTGAAAATAATGAAATTTTTTATTATAAATTACAATAATTAAAAAAATCAAATATTTATTTAAAAACATATAAACTTTTCAAATTCCATCACTGGCACATAAATTGAACAAAAAAAATAACGTATATTGGGCCCATAGTTTAAATTCATGGAAGCATGCAGAGACTTCAGAGTGAGCTATTTAGCTAAATCCACGTCATCAGGTTTTATTTAGTAAGAATTACATAAATCATGTAGTATTACTAATTGCATTTTATCCTATTTTTTTTTTTTCAAATTACAAAATTTCTAAATTTTGTAAGATCTTGGATATATACATCAGAAAAAATGTGGATACATGGCTCATGGAATGCGAATAATACAATATCTAAAAATATCTAATGAGAGTGATGTATATGAGAGGGGATAAGGATGTATCCGAGAGAAGATAGAGATGTATCCGAGAGAGGATAGAGATGTATATGAGAGGAAAGTTTTCTAATTTTTTAATAATATAAAATTTTAAAGCTTATAATAAAATAAAATGTAAATTTATGTAATTTTCATTTTATGTATCACTTCTATCATTTATCTTTTCTTTATTTTCAGACAATGGTATTTTGAGTATTTTTTAAACTTGTAGTTATTATTTTTATTTTTTAGAGTATATTGTTGTATCTAGTATTCTTAGTTTCTCTTATATTCATATCACCAATTTTTGAGACCCTTTTGGCCCTAAGAATACTTGAAAAAAATTGAGAAATTTTTGGAAAGTGGTGTTTGATTATATAACTTGGCAAATATATTTGCCAAGTATCTCAAGTTCCTAAATACTAGAAAAAACTAGTATTTGGGTCAAGTTCTAATATTTGAAATTTTAAAAAAATTAAAAAATTATCCCAAACTTTTATATTTTATAAAAAAATACCAATTATTTATTAATTCCAATTAATATTTGTTACTACCGCCTCCGAAGAAGTCTAAGTTCTAATTTGAGTGATAAAGTTGAGAAAAAGAAACAATTTCTGTTTAATGAGTTATAATTATAATTGAATTAGTAACAAGTTTGGATATGCGATTAATGTATTGTCTTGCCTATATTGTTATTTTGTTATTGCTGATTGCTATCAATTACTTTATAAGATTATTTTTTAATGGAACGTTGTCATTATAAAATGATAATATAAATTTATAGATATTTTAAATAATTTTTAGAACTGATGGGTATAAAAAAAAATTCTTTTTGAAATAGTCAAATATTTTTGAAAATTTTTAGGGCCAAACACATGGTGAAACTTCACCCAAGTATGATTTACCAAGAATATTTGAGAATTTGGGACCAAACGCTAGGGCTAGCAGGGGGAGCAGGTCGGCCCGCAACCGGTTTGAGAACCGTCTCGCCAGACTCGATCCCGTCTATTCTCGCGGGTTGGGGGATAACGGGTTAGGGGACCGGTTAGGGGCTGGTTCACCCTTTGGTCCCGGTCGACTCGGCCCGATTCCGACCCGTCTGAACCAGCCGGTTTTCGCGGGATCCCCTTTGTTTTTTTTTTAATTGTTTGAATTGTATCCGTTGCCAACCGTTGGGGGAACGGCTAGTCCCCCCCCCCTCCCCCCCAACGGATTTATTCCACTTTTTCACTTTCCCTACCACCCCCTACTTTTAATATTTTAATCTAAGCCCTCAAGTTATCATAAATACACTTTAACCCATTTTTAATATTATAAATACCCCTCTATCCCTTATTATTTCTTACAAAATCATCTATTCTCTCATCTATTTCTATATCCTCTCAATCTTAAGTCTTAATTTTTTATTTCATTTAAGTTTCATATTATTATAATACATATATATCAATTCTAAATTTTCATATTATATCATAATATATATAATTCTCATATTTCCTATCAAGTATTGGAGTTCCAAATTACAAGTTACAACAAACTACAAGCTTCAAGAATCAGTTATAACGTCTGCTATTAACGCAAACGTTTGGTACATTCGTTTCATAATATTTATATTTTATTTTTCGTCATTATTTTTTGTGTTATTATTATTTTTATATTACACTTTACATATAATTAAATATGAGTTCTAGCAAAAAAGATACCGGTAAAGGAAAAGAGAAAGAACCAAGTGGCATTAGTAAATTATTTAATTTTAATAAAAAAGTAGTAAGGAGCAAAATAAGAGTAAATGTGGTGGTACTTCTTCTAAATTAATGTCTAGAGTTAGATTTAATACAAATGATTCTACTTATGTTGATGATACTTCTTATGATATTGATTCAAATGTTCAACTCGATCATGAAATTTTAGAACGAATTTATGGTAATATTCATCCTTATCTTGATGAAAATTCAGGTGAAGAAGTAGAAGTTGGTTCGGGAGAAGAGGAATTAGAATATACACCTACCAGTCCGGTGACAGAAGTTTCAAATGAAACTACAAATTCAACGGAGCAAAATTGTGGACGCCCACCCCTTATACCTCCTACAAGGGAGAAGGTAAAGTATCAACGCCCTAAAACTTCTGTTATGTGGCAATTTATGACTTTAGATAAGGAAAACTCTATTGCTATTTGTAATAAGTGTAAGCAACCTTTTAAACATAAACAAGGTGGAGGTCAAGGTTGGACGGGGGGCTTAAATAGACATTTATTATCTTGTGTGCCGATTCAATATAAAGAAGCTAAAGCATTAGTCGATAGAAAAAAAGGAATTCCAATTAATGATTTTGATATTAATGTTAATGAATCGGTAGAGACTTCTAACATGGTTCAAGGAACATTAGATCCTTCTAACCCCAGTGGTCCACTAACACAACGTAAATATAATAAGGAAAGAGATCGCGAAGATTTAGCTAAAATGGTTTATGTTTGTGGTTTGCCTTATAGTTTTCCTTCACATCCCGATTTTATTGAATATATCTAACAAACTTATAATCCTACTTATAAAGGTTTTTCAAGAAATACTGTTAAATCTGATGTTTTTGTATATCAAGGTAAACATTGTCAATATCTTCATTGTATATTTAGCATATTAGATTGTAGAGTGTCTATAACTTCGGACATGAGTCGTAGTGTTAATGGACATGATTATTTAATTGTTACAGCACATTGGATTGATCATAACTGGAATTTGCAAAAAAGAATCTTAAGTTATAAAGAATGTGTAGAGAAAAAAACTGGTGCATATTTAGCTTCAAATATTTTGAGTGTTCTAGATTATTACATGTTTATAGATAAAGTAATGTTTGTCGCATTAGATAATGCATCTAATAATACAAACGATGCTAGTATGTTAAAAACTAGATTATGTCCAATTGATGTTAATGCTTTTCATGTTAGATGTGTTGCACACATATTAAATTTAGTTGTACAAGATGATATTTTATTATTTAATTGTGGTTGTATGAAAATTGAATATGCTGTTGCCTGGATTTTTTATGCTAATAGAGCTGCTAGAATTAGGGTATTTAATGAACGTTGTGTACTATGTGATTTGCCACCAAGAAAAATTTCGAGACATATTAAAACAAAGTGAAATTCTTTTTACAAAATGCTTTCAGTTGCTTAAGAATATAAAGGACCCATACAAATG